AAAAAAAAAAAAAAAGTAATTCTTCACCGTGCAATTCTGTCCATTAGTAATACCATGCCAAAAATCTGACAGTCCACTTGGTTGGATTACGCTCCCATGTGTGCTACTGAGCAACAAAAAATAGGTATACCATGTAAAGCTTTTTCGTTTCTTTTTTTTTGAAAAGCAGCTCCATGATTTGAGGGGTTGGTTAATACAATACAGGTGTTACAGGGGAAAAGTAGAAAACAGAACTTTAACACCAACGCCAGTACTTATCTCATTATGGTAATCACTAAGGATATTATTCATTTACATTAGTGTCATGTGTTTTAATGGGTGTACTTAATGCCCTCGTGTGAAATAAACATTTTCTAAATTTGGTGTCTGCAATTTTTCATTGCTTTTGTGGGAATCATTGTTCTTAACTGTCATCTTTTTTGCTGCCACTCCTGTCTCTGAAGTCTTCACTTAACACTTGATTGAATGGAAACTTTGTGAAGCCCAGCTTGCAAAAAGTTGTGACTTGGGTGAAGAATTCATGGGATAAATTACAGACATCTCTGCTGCCAAAGCACTACGAGCAGGCTACGCGGATAAGAAGTGCTCATTTAAGGAGATGTCTATTGCTAGACATGAGATATGGGGGCCCATGGTTCTCCAGGACAGGGAGTTGCCAGAAATTCAGGCTGGAATTTGGGATTTGGAGAGTTATGATGCTGTTCCAGATGATGATGACATGACTGTATTTGATTAAGTATAAATTTCTGTACATGAGTAAATGTAGATTTTTATACATAAATAACTAAATGTATATTGTTATATACGAAAAAATAATACATCCCCTGAAAATAAGCCCTATTTCATATTTGGAGCAAAAATGAATTTAAGATCTGGTCCTATTTTCAGGGAAATATAGCCATTAGGGGTAAGAGCCAGGCCACTAGCTCTTTCAAAAACTGTGTCCTTCAGTCTGTCCTAGTGTATTGCCATTGTGTTATTCTAATACTTTCATATATTCCTCTGGTAAAGATGTGGCTTCTTACAGTGTTGCAGGCTCCAAGAGGTCAGAGAGACCAATGGGGAAAAAGGATTTATTGGTTTTAGGTGTACACCAGCTCGACTTGACCTTGTGATGTCCACAATGGCTGAGCACCAGAACAAAGAAAAGGCTCTAGTTTTAAACATTTTGCTGAGGAGGTTGGTCTTTAAAAACTGGGGGAGGTGGGGAGGCAAGCGAAGATACAGAAGCAAGACAGAGCAATTAATAACTTAGCCTTGAAGGAAAACAGAGCCTTATGAATCCTGCGAGAACAAAATAACATAAACTCTGATTAGAGAACGTAGTTGCTAATCTTATCTGTACCAGAACGAGAAGTTCTAGCTACAGGGGAAGAGGGGAGAGTTCGAGGCGGATTTCTCTTTAAGTACTGCGTCAGTATCAGTCTGTACATAGGGTTCAGATGCCACTGCAAATATTGTAGCTGCTAAGCACTGTGACTTTTCTGTATAAACTAACTTTCAGGCCTTGTATGTTTGTGTTATCTGGTGCCAGTCACTACAAGTCTCAAGGCCTCTAAAGTAAGGACAGGATCTTCGGTTCTGAGTGCTCTGATAAAAGTGTTAATGGACCAGTGGCCATAGGCCAACATAGATACCTTTATTTTGTTTATTCCCTGGCCATTATTATAATGAAAAATAGAAGCATCACTGGTGTTGTAGTGAGCGGCAGTGCTTTCCTGGCTCTTACTGTCCCATACCAAGAATGGCTCAGAACAATTGGTGAATGTGAAAGTTTAGGGCAAAAAAGAAGAAAATGAAGCACAAAAGAAGTGCTCAAGGAAAAAAGTGCTCTGATGGAAAAAAAAAAAAAAAAGATACGTCCTACACACAAGGTGGGCTGCCACAAGAACAAGAGGACAGTGATGGTGAGCTCGGTGGCTGGAGTCCTTTATATCTTCTTTCTGACATTAGATCCAGGCTATCCCATCAAAAAGCCGCCTACAAGGGGCTAAAAGATTGGTATCAGGCGCTGGGCTTGGCTTGATCTGTGTCAAAGATTGGTATCAAGTACAGAGCTTGGCTTATATCATGTCAGAAGATGGGTATCAGGTGCCCAGCTCAGGAGCTGCTTCTCTGTACCGACGGTTAACAGATCTGTGCAATTGATAGGTCCTGCCCAGTTGCCCCAGCCACTTTGCCGTGCCCTAGTCTCTTGCTTCAGGAGGACATTGAATTCTTTTATTGGCAAAACAGAGAGAAGTCTCTATGCTCTTAAATGCCAACTGTTGTAGTTGGGTGAAGACCTCAAGACAAATATAGGTTAATATCAAAGGTAAGGCTAGTTGGGCATGGTGGCACATGCCTGCAATCCCAGCACTCTATGAGACTGAGCAGGAGAATCCCAAGTTCAAATCTAGCCTGGGCAACTTAGCAAGACCCTGTCTCAAATAAAAAATTAAGAGAAAAAGGACTGGGAATGTAGCTCATTGGACCTGAGGATAACATTTCATACTTGAGGAAATGAATTTTGATCTTTTGAGGGGGAGGGAACTGGAGATTCAAACCAGGGCCTGAACTACATACATCCTCAGCCTCTTTTCTTTTCTTTTTTTTTTTTCTTTTTTGAGACAGGGTCTTACTAAGTCACTAAGTTGCCCAGGCTAGGCTCAAACTTGGATCGTCCTGCCTCAGCCTCCCAAATACCACCTCACCCAACATAAAACCTGTAAAATCTTTTCTATGTATTGTCTTAACTACATTCCATCCATTTTGCTTTAATTTTGTATTTTTATTGGTACATGCTTGTAATGTGTTATGATTATGGTCATCATGGGGAGTTGGCAAAGGTACAAGATATTTCTCAATTTCTTCTTAAAAAATCCCTCCCACTCCTGCTCCCTGCACTTCCCAGACCCCTCCATTAATAGGGACTTGGTGGATGTATGTAGCACTTCACAATCCTCTCTTCTTTATTAATCTCTTTTTCATCTTCTCCTTCAGTTCCCTTCCCTCACGCCAAAGATCCATTTCACTATTTCCTACCATCTAATCTTTATTTTGCACTTTATTTATACAGTATATTGGAGTTCTCATATAAGAGACTGTGTGATGTTTAAGCTTATGTGGTTTGCTTCACTTCATGTTACATTCTCAAGGTGCACCCATTTACTTACAAATGACTTGAGTTTATCCTTTATGGCAGAGTAGTACTCCACTGTATATAAATACATTTTCTCTATCCATTCATCTGTTGATGGACATTTAGGCTGTTTCCAATATTTAACTATTAGAAATTATAAAGCTATAAATATGTGTACGCATGTATCACTGTAATATGATGCCTTTAATTGTTTTGGAAAGACAACTAAAAAGGGAATAACTGGGTTAAACAGAATTTCTACTTTTAATTTTTTGAGCAATCTCCATACTGATTTCCATGGTGATTGTACTAGTTTACATTTCCACCAACAATGTAGGATTCCTTTTCTCCTGCAGCCCCAGCAAAATTTGTTATTTGTTTTCCTGATCATAGCCATTCTTTCTAGAAGGAGATGGAATTTCAGTATTGTTTTCATTTACATTTCTAAAATGCCAGTAGTATTGAATATTTGTTCATGTATTTATTAGCCATTTCTATTCCTTCATCTGAGAAGTGTCTACTCATCTCAGATGCCCATATTTTGATTGAGTCATTTATTTTAAGGGGGTCCAATATTCTAGATGTCCTTTATCTGATGAGTAACTGAGAAAAATACAAATTGTGATATGGTATTTTAATTTTCATCTTATTTAAGATATTTTGCGGTTTCCTTTATGAGTTCATGTTTGACTCGTCATGCATTTGGAAATAAATTGTATAATTCCCCAATACTTGTGGATATTTGAGATTTCTTTCTTCTGTTAATGTTTATTTTATTTCCATTCATGCATTGCATAATTTCAAACTTTAGCTTAACTGAGGCTTGTTTTGTGGTCCACCAGACGTTCTATCATAGAGAAACTATGTGTGCTGGAAAGAGTGTGTATCCACAAGCTTTGTGTGGAGTGCTTTGTCTGTCAGGTTAAGTGCATGGCTCTTGTTCAAGTGCTCTATATCCTTGATGATTTTCTTTCTAGTTCTTCTATCAGTTATTGAGAATGGGGTTTTAAAATGCCCTACTATTCCACCTTTAAATTCTGCTACTTTTTGCTTCATGTAATTTAAGGCTTTAAGTGTATAAAGGTATGTACACATTTACAACTATTCTGTTCTCTGAAGTATTGATACAGCTAACATTTAATTTTTTTCTTTGAATTTTTTGATATTTGTCATCTTTTCCAGTGCATATTAGTAATACAAAATAATGAAATTTGTTTTGGTCGATTGGTACATGCATGTAACATATTTTTATTATTTTCAATTCAATTACCTCTTTCCCGTTTTTCCCTGTCCTCTAAAAGTGTACCTTCTCATTTCCTGTCATCTTTCCTTTATTTATGCGTGTATTTATTTATTTATTTTTAGATTTCTTGTCTAAGATAAAACATACACTATTAAACTTTCTGAGTCTGGTTTATTTCTCTTTTTTTTTTTTTTGGTTTTTCTCCGGTACCAGGAACTGAACTCACGACCTTGCGCTTGCCAGGCAGGTGCTTTTGCCGCTGAGCTAAATCCCCAGCCCCTATTTCTCTTAATATAATGGTCTCCATTCCCACCCATTTTCCTGCCATGTGATGGTTCTTGTCTTCCAGTCCCATCATAAATCTCTTTCTTCTGATATCAATGTTGCCACTCCATCTGTTACGCTTATTATTGCTATGGTGCACCTTTTTCTACATTTTACTTTCATTTTGTGTCTTGAATTTATGATGTGTCTGCTACAGATAGCATGTATTTGGATCTTGTTCCTTTTCATCAGTCTTATTATCTCTGCCTCTTAACTTGATTGTTTATTTGTTTTTTGGTTTTTTTTTTTTTTTTTTTGGTTTTTCTCCGGTACCGGGAACCGAACTCACGACCTTGCGCTTGCCAGGCAGGCGCTTTTGCCGCTGAGCTAAATCCCCAGCCCCTAATTTGATTGTTTAAACCATAACATTCAATATAATCTTTGATATAATTGGATTTAAATTTGGCATTTTGCTATGTATTTGTTTTCTGTATGCCTCCCATTTTTTGTTCTTCTGAATTTCTACTCCCATCCTTCTACTGAAGGATTAAACCAAGGGCTCAAGCACACTAGGTAAGCACTCTGTCTCCGAGCTTACATCCCTGACCCTTTTCATTTCACTTTGAGACACAGTCTCACTAAGTTGCCCGGGCTAGTCTTGAACTTCGATCCCACTGTGTGAGCCTCCCATATAGCCAGGGTCACAGGTGTGCGTCACTGCACTGAGCTCACAGAATTCTTTTGTGTTGACTATTTTTCAATTTTTACTAAATATACCTTTTAAATTTCTCTTTGAATTTTAAATTATATTTTTGGGTTGTTTCCCCAGTGGTTGTTCTAAAAGTTATAGTATGTATTTTAACTTACTGAAATATATATCGGCTTGTTACTAATTTACTTCGGCTAAAATGTAGAAACATTGCCCATATATAGTTCCACATCCTTCTAATGTTATGCTGTTATTATCATATAAGTTACAACTTAATGTTATGAAGCCAACAACACAGTGTTGATCTAAGAGTATAAAGCAACAAAAATTATTGCTTTATATAATCTTTTGTAAACAACATAAGAAAAAAGAGAAAAAATATACTTTTTATATTAACCCAGCTATTTACCATTTCTCCCGCTCTTCATTTGTCCTTAGAGATTCAAGTCACCATGTGGAGTCATTTCCGATTGGCCTAAGGGACTTCCTACCATTATTTCTTGTGCTACAAGTCAGCTGGCAAGAAATCCTCAGCCTTTATTTAGGCAAATCTTCATTTCACGTTGTCAGAACCTCCCTATAGACACAGCTGGGAAGAAGGCAGGTGGGAGCAGCCACAGGCCAAAGCAACAGATTTCCACCTTCTTACACAAACCTTTTACCATTGTCCTATGTTTCCAGTTAACTTCCAGAGACGGAGTTGGTCTGTCTTCGCCAGTTTTGCAGTTGTTCTTTGCAGAGACGACTGGTCCATCATCCTCACTTGACCACAGGTGCAACGTGTCTTTTTCAAACTTACCCTCTTTTATTTTATGAAATCAAACCTTGGAAAATATTTTATGAATATCAATCATTATATTTCTTATTCCTGTATGCAATGGGTTTGTTTAATCCTTTCGGGCTGATGTAACAAAATAGTTTGCAGTGAATTATTTATTTATTCATTCGTTTTGTATTTTTTTGAGACAAGGTGCCACTATGTAGTTCAGGTTGCCCTTCAACTCACTATGCAGTGCAGGTTGGCCTCGAACTCATGATAATCCTATCCTCACGCCTCAGCCTCCCAAATGCTGGAATTACTGGCGTGAACCACCAAGTGCAGCTCTACACTGAGGAATTTAGAAACAATGGATATTTATAGCTCACAAAGAGGATGCAGTCCTATGTTCTGAAATGTTTTTGTTCCCCCCAAAACTTCTTGGTGAAATCTAACCCTGAAGGTGATGGTATTTAGAGGTAAAGCCACTTGGAGTTTATCAAGCAATGAAGACTGTACCCTTATAAATGGGACAGTGCCCTTCTAAGAGACCGGAAGGAGTTGTCGGCCCCTTCCCTCTTGTGAAGACACACCTAGAAGGCAACATCTTTGAAGGAAAGCATGAACCCTCACCATGTGCTGAATCTCATGGTGTGATGCTGTTTGACTTGCCAGGCCACAGAACTGTGAGGGGTACTTCATAATTTAGTTACCTCTTAAGAGTTTCCTAATCAATGGTATTTTGTTATCACATCACAAATGCACTAAGACAACTTCAATATATTCCACTGGCCTTTTCAGAGAATCTGTTTAGAATTCATTTATTATTACTTTTACACTTTTGGCTTTCTACTCTAATTTCACTTTTAAAAATTTGGTTCAGTCTTTCTCACTTTCAGTAATGAGTTTGTTATATTGTTTTCTTACATTAACTTTTAAAATATTGTTATAAAGCCATTTATGGATAAAGGAGTTACTCCAAATAAAGAAATTACAATATAGGAATAATAGCATCGAAGTTGATGCCTTCTGCCTCTAATTTCCTAGAAGCTAGGTAAGTCACCTTTTTATTTCCTCTTTGAGGGAAAATGAAGTTAAAACATGTTTATTAATTTCAAATTAGGTAAAATTTGGGTAACTTTATTATTTTTAAATTTATTGGACAAAGTATATACTATGGGTTGAGAAATTCTTAGTGGTAAGTCTGTTCACAAACTTCTTTCCAGGATTCTGGTCGTAAACCTAATTGGACAAGAACGGAACACAATTTCCCTATAAGGTCAATGTTGAACCTAATGATTGAATTTGATATGGTTCTTCTCCAATTCAGTTGGGACCAGCATCATGGAAAGAATTAAGTTTGTGAACTCAGGGACCACTGTATTAAAGTATTTTTCGGTCAAACAAATAACTAATATAAAAATTCTAACATATAAAACTTTCTCATTCTCTAATTGGAGGTTATAAGATGTTATATTTAATGAGTATATTGTGTGTACTGATTCAATAACTCAGTATTCAATCTCTAATGTAGGAATGTAAAATTTGGTTTTATGTGCACAGAAAAAGAATTAGAAATAATTGCTTCTAATTATTAATCAGTGCTCATTTTTATGATTCATTTATATCAATGCATTTCTTTTTGGAAAGCACTTCCTTATTTTCTGAATCTGTTAATGAATATGGAAACAGTTTCTGTATTTTTTTCTTAAAAAATAAAGTTAGCCAAAAAAAGAGAAAAACTTGAGGAAGTAGGAACTAATGATATTGAAAAATGGTTTTAGCACTATTAAATGAAATGTAAATAAACAACATAGAACATATATCGATTATAAAAAGAGTGTACAGAAAAATGTTACCCTAAGACAATGTTGGACATGCAGGAATAAGTCCTAAGTATTGATGCCTTAGTAAAAGGCTGTCTCGAAGCTGGGTGTGGTGGCGCACACCTATAATCCCAGCACTCGGGAGGCTGAGAAAGGAGGATCGTTTCCAGTTCGAGACTAGCCTCAGCTACAAAGTGAGCTCAAGGCCAGTCTGAACTCCAAAGCGAGACCCTGTCTCGAAAAGAAAAGAAGAGGGCTGTCTGTGACAGCATACCCGTTCAGCGGAAAGAGAGAGGAAGAGGCAGAATTTTTCCGAAGCATCACAGGGGGAGACTAGAGAGGCTGTCCTCTAAGTAAGACATTTCCTGCACTTTCTTCTCCCTTAAGGTTTGAGGATTTACACTTACCCTTTCCAAAAGAAAATGTCATTATAGGGGACACAGTGGACCTAGAGTGCTGAGCAGAAAACTGCATAGAATGAAGATACAACTGCATAGGCAAGGAAGAGTGAAAAGGTAATTTCTGAGCAATTAACCTTTCTGATGAGGGTGGTGCTTTGGCGCCTAGGTATGGTTTCACCTGAAAAACAGGCAAAATCACAGCCAATTGATTTTATGGCACCAGGTTGGTTAAAATGCTAGGTTCCTATGTTTCCTGGAGCCTCTGTCTCTATATAGGTTTTGTTGTTGTTTTTTAGGATTGTTTGTTTCTTGGCGTTTTTTTGGACAGGAAGGGCGGGAGAAGCCACTGTGAGCAGCCCTGGTGTACAAACGTGAAGCACTACTGCCATCGTGCGGAAAAAGTTTCATTACATCGGGCGCCATTTTAGCTTTTTTCTCAAGAGTGGGTGGGGAAGGGCCTGCCTGTAGGGAGATGGATGAGGCTTGAGTCTAGGCTGGACTCGTTTACCTTCTTAAGACTCCAAGAGGGATTTGGACTCTGGAAAACTACCTCAGAGTAGAAACTGGGTGATGAGGGGCATATCGTGGAACAGCAGCTGCCTGTAGCCGCCATCACAGGAAGTCATGGGGTGGGACTTCAGTCCTTCCCTGGTGTGGACCCACTCAGACAAATGCCGGCTCTGGGAACCTTTAGCTCAGTTCTTCCCCCTGAAGAAAGAGTTAGCAAACCTTTATGTGTTGTCACAATGCTATTGGGCTTCAGGTCCCTCATAGCTTCTGTCAGAGTATATGGACAAACCTGTTCCAAATGACATCCGTGAACACTTAGGCTGGTAATGATCTCAGATCAAACAAAACGTCCCAAGAGCAAAGACCTATCTCACTCAAAGTCACAAAGAGAGTAGGGCATAGAACTATTGGTCTCTCAGCTTTCCTGGAGAAAATCAATTTACTTGAAGCTAGGGACTAAAAGTAATGCTACACAAATAAATATTCTTTCTGACACTGCTTCCAGGTTTCGGCCTACAAACTCCCACTTCCAACAGGAGGAACAGGTGGAAGGTTATCCCAGGAGGCTGCTTTTGTCTGAACTGGTCCCAGAGTCCGGTCCACACTGGAAGGGGTCGAGGCCCCGCCCCACGACTTCCTGTGAGGGCACCACTTGGCCGCTACTGGTCAACACCAGGTCCCTGGGCACCACTCAGTATCTACACCAAAGTAGCGCCAGTGACCAGGTCGTTCATGGGGGATTAGAGGAGCCAAGGATACCCTGGCTAGAGTACTATCCTCCTGTATCTCACTACAGGCTGGATCTTTGCCCAAGCGTTAGGCCTCATAGGTATGAAATTGTAATGGCAGTCGATATGATGAAACTCTCTCCGCACGATGGCAGTAGTGCTCCGTATATGGCCACAAGAACGATCTTCCAGTGCTCTCCCGCCCTTCTTGTCTGAAAAAAAACACTCCCTAGAGAAATAGATACCAAAATAAAGGCAGCTTTTCTTTCTTTCTTTCTTTCTTTCTTTTTTTTTTTTTTTCTTTCTTTCTTTCTTTCTTTTTCTTTCTTTTTTTTTCTTTTTTGAGAAAGGGCCTTGCTATGTAGACCAGCTGGCCTAGAACTCACTGTATACCCCAGGCTGGCCTTGTATTCACAGCGATCCTCCTGCCTCAGCCACCATGCCAGGTTATGTTGTATTTTGTGTAGCCTGGTGATGCAAGCTCATTCTGCTGTAATTTTGCTTTTGTTTTGGCCAGAAGAAAAAAAGCACTAGACACTGTAGTTATATTGCACTTAGGTCAACTTGAGAAAACTTGCTCTCCTCTTAGACTCTTCCTTTTACTTCCTATTTGATATTAAAGGTAGGTCTAATGAGCCCTGTGTTCTATCCCCAAGAAATGAAAGGAAGGTGGGAAGGTAGGCAAGGTAAACTACCCACCCTCAGCAAACAGCTTCTGAAGAGCTAAATTTCCACACAACCAAGTCTTCCCATTATTGTTGTTCTTCACGAAGCATTCCATCTCCAGCATTTCCTCGTGCTATCAAATTGTGTTGACATATTGCAGGCCAAGCCTCAGGAACCCATGCCTAGGAAGGAAAAGAAAATGCTTACACCTAAGGTGTGAGGCTGTTTGTTTCTCATCCTAACTCACTACCTGTGACTGCTACTGAGCTAAGCACCACTCCTGTGTGCCCAGGAGAGGATTATTTTAGCTGAAGCTTTAAGGGGAGTGTCTGAGAGCTGTCAAGACTGAAGGCTGCCCAATGTCTCATGTGGTGACACAAATGATGTCTAAGGATTGTAAATTCCAACCCGAGAGATCACATTGGCCTCATGGATTTATCCTTTAACAATGAAGTAGGGGCTGGGGATTTAGCTCAGCGGCAAAAGCGCCTGCCTGGCAAGTGCAAGGTCGTGAGTTCGGTTCCTGGTACCGGAGAAAAACCAAAAAAAAAAAAAAAAAAAAAACAAAAAAAAACAATGAAGTAGGACAGCATTTTCCCATATTAAGTGACCCATCCTTAGTTCCCAGGACTGTACTGTGTCTGTGGGTTATTGTTCTCACTTAGAGATCCCTCTTACATTTTCTCCTTCATAACTTGGACCTGGAGCTTTGAAAGGATTCCGACAATAGTCACATGCTTATCAAGAGACAGGCGCCATCATAAAATTTTACCACTGGTAACCTTTTGTATGTCTACTCCTTCTCCTATTCACGCAATACATAAAGACAAAGTTCTAAGCAGACAGTGAAACAATGCAATACATCTGCATTTAAATCATATTTAGTTATTCACTGGCTTTACAATAAACGTTTTCACTTCTGATTCCCAGGAAGTTTTTCACATTGTCATAAGGAGACAGTCTCCAAATAAAAAAAATTAAAGGGGTGGGCGATAGAGCTTATCGGAAAGAGCCTGGGTTCTGTCTCCATTACTGAAAAAAAAAGTTTCATCTGAAATTCTGGTCCTAAGTTTTGTTTTGTTTTTTGTTTATTTGTTTCTTTCTGTTTGCCTTGGTTTGGTTTTTTGAGACAAGATCTCTCTATGTATGGCTGTAAATTCACTATGTAGCAGGGCCTGGCCTCAACTTTTTGGTGATCCTCATGGCTGATCCTCATGACTGAGCCATGAAGCATGATCTTAGAATTTTATCTGTAAAAGCCACAAAGAAAGAAAGTGAAATTCAAATAGAATTGTCGGAAACTGTCATGTCTCAAATTCAGACACCCTGATGTGTGCCCTGAGAAACCTTAAAGACAGTTGCATACACACCACATGTGTGCAGCTACATTCTTCAATGAACATCTACTTATACAGATACAAATAAAAATAAAGATACACTAGCTTGCTTCAAACTGTCAGGTTCATACACATACTCTTAACACTGGTCAGGATTCCAAACACACAGCTTTTAAAACTCTATATGGGTACAAATGCATGTATACACCTCTGCCTCAGCTAGTCATTTCTCCTGATATAACTGTGTGCGGCTTTCAGTTTACGTAGCCGTCAGCCCCACCATACACCACCATTGGCATACATTCACATCTATACACGTTTTTAGCGCTATGTATTTTACCTTTCACTCTAGACCTTTAATAAATTGCAAAGCAGAAATCATGTGGCAAGCCAATCCCCGTGAGAAAAAAAAATCCACTGTTGAAATACCTGTGATGAGGCATGGTGTGGCACAGCTATAGCCCGACCACTATGGGAGGCTGAGGCAGGAGGATCACAACTTTGCACCCATCCCAGGCAACTTGGCAAGAAACTGTCTCAAAGTAAATAAATAAAATGAAAAAGGGCTAAGGGTGTAGCTCAGTGTAAAGATCTTGATTTCAGCTCTCACGATAGGAAGAAAAGTCTGTGCCATGTATGTTAAATATTTTCCTTTTCTATATTATATATTTATCATGTGTATTTTTATGAAACAATGTTCAAATTCTCACATACCATACTTTTAATGCAAATATTTTTACTTACAAGAATGATTTTGAAGTATAATTAATATTTGGTGGAGTATACTGACATGTTTAAAAAATATTGCCACTTGAAACTGGCCGGGATAGCCCATGCTTGTGATCCCAGCATTCAAGAGGCTCAGGCAAGAGGATTGCCAAGGGTTCAGAGCCAGCCTGGGCTACACAGTGAATTCAAGGTCAGCTAGAATTACAGAGCAAGACCTTGTCTCAACAAAACAGAAAACATATATCTAGATAGATAGATAGATATAGATATATGTTATGACCTGTTAAAATTAAGGTAAAATTCATGTAACATAAGATTACCCATTTTATTGTGTGGAATTTAGTGGCACTCACTACATTCACTATCCTGTGGCAACTTTACCTCTGTCTAGGTCCACACAATTTTAATTCCCACAAAAGGAAGCCCTGGGCCCATTAAGTAACCATTCGCCATTCCTCTCCTCCCACCCTACCCAGCTACCAACAACCACTATTTTGTTTTCCGCCCCCTATGAAGTTACCTATATTACAGAGTTCATCTGAAAGGAATCATTACAAGACTTGGCCTTTGGGGCTGGGGATTTAGCTCAGCAGCAAAAGCGCCTGCCTCGCAAGCGCAAGGTTGTGAGTTCGGTTCCCGGTACTGGAGAAAAACCAAAACCAAAAAAAAAAAAAAAAAAAGAGTTGGCCTTTATTGTTGTTGTTGTTTGGTACCAGGAATTGAACTCAGGACCTTGCACTCACCAGGCAGGTGCTTGTGCCACTGAGCTATATCCCTAGCCCCAAGACTTGGGCTTTTGTGGTTTGGTTGTTTCACGTAGCATGTTTTCAAAGTTAATCAGTATTATAATATATATCAATGTTCATTTGTTTTCCTAGATATATAGGTAACTTCACAGGGGGCAGAAAACAAAATAGTGGTTGTTGGTAGCTGGGTAGGGTGGGAGGAGAGGAATGGTGAATGGTTACTTAATGGGATCAGCCCTATATTATTTATTTTGATGCTGTTATGATTTCTTTACTTTCAGATTGTTCATTGCTATTGTATATATACCCAAATACAACTGATTGGCTTTTGCTTTTGCGGAGAACAAGCTTTCCCTCTGTATCCAGGTGGCTTTAATTCATTCTGTCTCAGTTCTCTGAGTCTTGAGATTACAGGCATGGGCACCAGGCCCGGCTCTACAACTAATCTTTAGAAATTTTCTTTCTGTTCTGCAAGATTTGCTGCATAGCTCTGATAGGATTCTGTGTATGAGATGACGGCACTGACAACGGTCATTTTCCTTCTTCCTTCCAATTTGGGCACCTTCCATGTTCTTGCTTGAATACCTTAGCAAGAACTTCTGCTACAAAGTTCCATACAACTGGTCAAAGTGGGCATTTTTTCCTTATTCCTGATCTTAGGGCAAAGCTGTCAGTCTTTCACCGTTGAGTAAACTACTAGCTGTATAGCTATCATAAATGCCCCTTGCTTATTAAGAAAATGCCCTTATAAAATCATACTTCATTCTGTTTGGTTTCCTTCCTGGAGAGATGAAATTCTACTTTTTTCACTGACATCACTTTTACCATTTGCCTTGCATTTTTAAACATTATGTGAGGTCACAGGTAACCACCTCACCAAGAGACACGCACTTGTCACTTGTACATTTGTCTCCAGTCCTTTTAACTGTTCTTAGTCCTCCACATTTTATGTAAAGCTGATGACTGTCAGATAATAGGAGGCATTTGAACCTTCAGGAAATACATGTACTGCTACAGTATATCACCATCTCACACAGCAGCAACTAGGAACCTATATACCATTGGATAGTGACATCAATTGAAGGGGTTGTTTTTGGTTTTGTACTGTGGAGCACACCCAGGTACATTTCTAGCCGCGCCTACAAACTTCTGTTGTTGTTGCTGTTATTGGTTCAACAGCCTGCCTCTATAGTTCAGCCTGGACCTGAACTCTCCCTATGTAGCTTAGGCTGACATGGAATTCATGATTTTCCAGCCTCAGCGCAGTTGCAACGCAACTGCAAGGTCAGGCTTCCACCAACAAATGCTTGCTAAGAAGGAGAGGAAGAGGTGCAAGATGCCTCAGAGCCCTGCATTTGCCTCTGAGCTTGTCCTTGGAAGTCCTGTTCACCCTGAGAGGAGCGGCGGCCCGCCCCACCACTTCCTGTGATGGCGGCTCCGGCAGCTGCTGGTCCGCGCCAGATGCCTCACCACCCAGATTCTACCTGGAGGTAACTCTAGTGTCCGGATCAATCGTGTTTCCCTAAGAAGGCAAGAAGGCCCTCCCTGGAGTTCAAGCCTCTTCCATGTCGCTGCAGGCCAGACTTCCCCCAGCTGGGCTGGCGCCTGATGTACTGAAACTCTTTCCGCATGATGGCAGTAGAGCTCCGCTGTTGAGCGCAAGTTCTGCCCGCCAAGCTCTGCTCCCGCCATTCTTGTCTGAAAAAAAACGCTACCCTAAACATGGCTTCCTACCGTTTGGCCCAGACGGTGCTAGGAGCACACTCTGCTGTGACTTTTTGCTTTTGTTTTCCTTGTAAAACAGCAAAGAGACCACAGAAATCCGCACTTCTGTTTCAGTAATCTTTTCTCTGAAGTTAAATTGCCGTCCAAAGTAGTCTGTGTGCCTCTCCATTATCTCTTAGCACTTTCACAAAATATTGTGTTCTCTCTTTCAAGCAGTTAGGTGGTTCCAGGCCCAAAAGGGAAGGAAGTGATTGATCCCTGGAGATCACACTGAGCTTTTATGGTCAATTTTAAGTCACCTTTAGCTCCCTTTCTTCCTAGATAACTGGAAAGTCCATCTCCATGTTCTCGCATTTGTGCTGAACTGTTAGCAGCTCTTGTCCAGAGAGAAGAGAAGTGATATAGTTTGTATCACTATATGTCATAAACTGGTCCACAGAGCATGCTAACCTACACTTCCATGTTATGAACTTTTACTAGAGGTTAATAACAGTTTTCTGTCAAGAGTTCTTCATTTAAAATTGGAATAAAGCACATTCCTTTGCCATTGAATGTTTTTCTTTTCTAGGGGGCATGTTTGAGATAGGGTCTTAGATAGTGGTGCAGGCTGTCCTGGGATTAGGAGATCCTCCTGCCTCAGCCTCCTGACAGCTGGAATTTCAGGCATACACCACCACACCCAGCATGCCATCGAATGTTTTTGAACTTCTTCCTGTAACAGTGTGTCTTTCTCTGATATTTTATCTGTTGCAATATATTCTCATCAAGTACAGTGTTTGCCAATCATTTAAAAACTAACATGTGATGACCAAGAAGAAAAGCATTCTCCTACAACCTATTAAGACGAATGATAACCTTTTGGATTTCTTTGAATACTTTTAAAAATATCTGCATAAATACATATTATTTATATATTTAAGTTTATGAAAAACATCCTGTATTAAAATTGGATTAATGTGCACATTGTGTTTTGGATCAGATGAGGTGCATCAAGTTTGGAAGGGAACGCATTCACCATACTTTATATTAATCTATAAACTTTCAATATATCTCCTTATATAAAAAATGCAAACATAATCTTATAAACGTATAGACAGGATGCTGACTATAATAGTAACCATATTACAATTTAGCTATTAAATATGTGCATACACACATACATTTATGAATGTGAACTTTTTCTTCAGTTATAACTGAATTCACTCCAGAAGTAGTTTTAATAAAATCTTCATTATCTTTTACACTTTCCATATTGATACACATACACATAAATTTGTTGATATTCTGTTCTATATAGTGACTTAATATCCAAAACACTTACAAAAGTAATTCATACTAATAGCAAAGTGTTCAAATTCTGGGAGTGCATAAAGCCAAATAAGTGTTTCTGCACCCCAAGAAGTGATTTAAAATATCTTTATCATACATTCTTGTGTGTTCCCTTACTTACACAATGAAGTCTTTAAAGTTTCCACTCCAGTGGTCAAGTAAGTTTCTGCAGGGTGAGCATTTTGCAGACTTGTTAATATTCTTAAAGATTATTCCCAATCATTCTTTGGCATATTCATTTTTTAAAATAACTTTCCTCCCCATTGGCATTTCTCAGTACTATATGTGCTTCTTCGCATCATGCCCATGCACAGGAGCCATGCCTTAAAAAAATAAAGAAAGGAGCTAAGTCACACTGAATACCATAACCAGGAAACAAGTAATTTTAAAAAGGAGAAAATACTTGTATGTCCTATGTGAAGTTACAAATACAGATTACCTGGTTCCATGAACTCAATAAAGCATTCTACAGCAACAGTTTATCCTACAAATATTTGTTCTGGATTCATTCTCAAACTATCAAACTAGCTGGGCCTGGTGGCACATGCCTATAATCCCATCACTCCAGAGTCTGAGGCAGGAGGATCGCCACCAAGTTTGAAGCTAGCCTGGCTTACACAGCAAGTTCGAAGCCAGCCTGGAGTACACAGCAAGACTCTGTCTCAAAAAAAAAAAAAAGAAAGAAAGAAAAAAGCCATCAAATTATGAAAGTAATATCAGCTTTTGAAAAGTCCCAGTGTATTCAAATCTATAAAGAACAAAGAAAAAGGTTTTATTGCTTCATGTCTATGTGCATTGAAATATTATACATGCTATATAGGATTTTTCACAAGAGCTGATACCATTTAACCAAACATAGGTCATGGGTATCCTCACTATTTGCTTAGTGAGGTTTTCAAACACACACACACACACACACACATACACAAAATCTCATTAATTCTTCAATTTCATCCTGATCGTACTATTGGGAGAATCTAGTACCGTGGATTTTTCTCACAATACTAGGTTATGTTATATTTCCAATGGCATATACCAGTCGTAGGTAACTTCTAGTGCTTTGCTGCTAAATCTCATAACATCTCTTTATTATTTAAGAACCACAAAATATCAATTACTTCTTAAATTGTGAGGATAACATAAGCATCTAGAAAATAAATGTAAAAGTGAACAATAATAAAGTATATAGAAATATTCTGCATAGCAGAAGTTCAAAAACCTCAGTACTTTATTCAGTTGTATTCTGATTTTTCTTCTCTTGGTGTTAAAAATTATGCAGGGCGGAGAATGTGTAGATGCCTAAATTTTTTCTGTGGAGGACTGTGGAGAACGCAGGGCATTCACACTGAGCTACATCCTCAGCCCACTTTTATATATATAATTTTTCTTGGAGATAGGGTCTCAATAAGTTCCTCAGTTGCCCACGCTGTGCAAGAATTTGTAGTATTCCTCACAGTGATATATGTGCACCCATGTTTACAGCAGCACAGTTTGTAAGAGCTAAATCTTGGAAACAAACCAAAATGCCCATCAACAAAGGAATGAATAAAAAAATATAGTCTTTTTTTTTTTTTTTTTGGTCTTTTTTTTGAGACAGGATCTTGCTATACAGTTCAGGCCTTGAGCTCACTTTGTAGCCCAGGTCTCGAACTCGCAGTGATCCTCCTACCTCATTTTCCCAAGTGCTGGGATTATGGGTGTGCACCACCACACCCAGCTCCATGCCCAGTTTCAAGTGGCAATTTCCTTATGATCTGAATTTTTTCCTTTTCTTATTTTTTCTTATTTTTCTCAGTTCTTATATAGAAAGACTACTTTAAAATGTTGGTAAATGATCTTTAGGTGACTGGAGTTTTTGTTGTTAAAATATTAGAAACCTATGATTTCCTTGAGTACTCACAACAAGAAATGTAATCATTACAGCATACAAGAAGTGTTCAGTATTAATTTAAAAAAATTTATTAGTACATGTCCGCAGTACATAATGATCACATTGCTCTTCAGGAGTTGGTACATGTGCGTGACATATCTTACTTCTTTGTGTTTCCCCTTCCTCTTCCTCCCTCCCTCTATACTTTTTTAAAAAACACAATGAACATTATACTGAATATTATCAATACTAAGTAGTGTTTGTCCGCATTCTACCTCTTCTTTAGGAATGAAAGTAAAACGTGAAAGTCTATCCTCAACTATATTGCCTTACAAAGGTAGACACATGTATCTTGTTCGAATACAGTTTTAATTTTTAGATATTCCAGTTTTAATTTTATAGATATTGTTTTAATTTTATAGATATTATAGATTATTGTAGATTATTATATTATTATATTATATTTTATAGATATTATAGATTATTGTAGATTATTATAGATATTGTATTAATTTTATAGATATTCCATTTGCACATTAGCACACTCCCATATATTTATGCTACAAGATTATCATATATATTAGAAGTGAAGTACAACACACTTTGCTATTTGTGTTACTGAGTGCTAGCAAACTTACAAAGTTTGATCTTCAAACACATCACCCATTGATGAACTGCATGAAGTTTTTACCTAGGAATGTCTTAATTCTCTTTCATTTTTGAAACTTAGTCTTGCTTCACATGGAATCAGGCACAGGCTGTTTTATTTTCTTTTAGAATGTAAACATTTTCTCTCCCTACCTTTTTCTTTCCATAGTTTCTGAAGTGAATTGACTGGTAGTCTTACTGAAGATTCCTTGTTTATGACAACATCATTATCTACTAATTCTTTCAAGATTGTTGATTTGGTTTTTACTCTTCATGGCATAGTGTGACTCATTATATCATTCATTGTGCATTATGTAGAGTTGGTTGAATTTCTTCGATGTGTACATACGGGTTTTTCATGGACCCACTGATTCTTTTTCTTGCTGGGTCAAATCTACCATTAGGAACTTATTGGGAATTGATCACTTTCATTTTTATGCCTTTCAGTTTCAAAATTTCTAACTTTTAAAAATAATTTCTACCTCTTGCTGACATTCTCTAATAGTTAGATACTGTCCTCCTAATTTTCTCTGATCTATGTATTTGGACTTTTGCACTTTGAGCATATTTAGGAGAGTTGATTTGAAGTCTTCCAGTTTCTATTAATTGTTTTCCCTGTGAAGGGACCATACTTTCTTGTTTCTGGGAATGTTGCATTTCTTGTAGTTGTTAAAAACTGTACATGTTTACTATTATAATATATCAACTCTGAAAATGAGTTCTAAACACCCTCCATGTTGTGTTCATAGGCCTGATAGCTAGGTGTCAATCAATTCCTTCTCTCATTTGAGCCTGCAACCTTGTAAATTGCCTAAAGCAGACAATACAGCCAAGGGAAATACTGAGTGGTAGGGAGCAGAGGCACAAAGGCTACCTGGGAGGAGGTGTGGAGGATGTAGGAATCAGTTTTCTTTCCTGTACAAAACAAAAGCAAAAGCACAGCAGAGAGAGCTTGGGCAGCGGGCTCGGTAAAATGAAAACATCATGGCCTTTTTTCAGACAGGAAGGGTGGGAGGAGAGCCCTGGAAGACAGCACTTCATCCACACTTGGAGCACTATTGCCATCGTGCAGGAGTTTCAACACACCTGGCACCACGACAGTTTCCTTCCCATGAGGCTGAGCTGTTACGGAAGGTCCTGCTTGTAGGGAATTTGAAGAGCCTTTAACTCCAGGCTGAGCCTCCTTGCCTTCTCCTAAGGTCCCAAGACAAACCTGGACACTGAGCTACCTAGTTGTAGAACCTAGGAAATGAGGAACCTGCAGTGGTCCGGCAGCTGCCAGAAGCCTCCCTCACAGGAAGTCATGGGGTGCAGCCTGAGTTTCTCCTGAAGGTGGATGGGACCAGAGAGAGACCACCTCTCAGAGAAGCTCAGGCCTGTGGGGCACCAGTCACATGTTCATGCTTCTTGAATTAAGCAAGAGTTAGCAGGCCATTAGAAGATGGCCCTGTGCTGGGTTTGAGAAGACATGAGCAACAGGAAGTTTGTGATTGTTTGAGCTACACAGTGGTTTATTGGTTTATTAAATGAGTCTCTCTGCTTTTATATATTTTTAAACTTCCATTATAAAAGTAACAAAAAAGCAAAAAAAAAAAAAAAAAAAAAAGATGGCCTTGTGCTCCAGTGTTTTGGGTCCCTTGTTGCAGCAGTGTGAGAACAGCAGGGCCAGGCCAGTTCTAGGTGGCAGCTGCATATTCAGTGCAAGAGCCTCACTCTCCAGATTGTATCCTGAACACTCTGTGTTTGTGCCTTGATCCTGGCTGGCCTCAGAGAAAAGAATTTGGGAGCTAAATTTGGGTTTTGGGCCCTTCTGACCTCCTAGAAGTTCTGCCTTCCTCAAGTGCTGGCTAGGGCTTTCATGGAGGAATAGCTCATGGCTTAGGACTTTATGAAATCACTTCTTCAAGATGGTAGTATTTCCCAGAAGACCCAAACGAGCCTGCTTTCACAGACTGTACTTCCCATCCGGTTTGAAAAAAAATGCCACAGAGGAGACACACACTAGAAACTGTGGTTGTATAGTACTTTGCTCACTTTGAGGAAAGAGGCTCCACTCTTAGAATATTGCTTTTACTTTCTATTTGATATCGAAATCAGATCGAATGTGCAACGTTCTGTGTTCCATCTCCAGCACTGCAGAAAGAAAAAGTCAGATCCAACTTACCCTCCTGCAATAGGTAGGCTCTCTTCTCCCAAACTCAACTCCCAAAGAGTTCTCAGTTCTGCTCCTCTTCATCCAGCATTCTATCTCCAGTGTTCCATCTTGATATTACTTTGTTGTATTGTGGGTCAATCCTCAGGAATCTATATCTAAAAAGGAAAAGAAAACGCTGAACACCTAATGACATAGAGAATGACAAGTTGCTTAAATCTCATCCTGGTTCAATGTCCCAGCTTCCTTGGGAGTCCTACTCCATAGCCTGACTTTGATGATATGAATTCTAAGAGAGCATATTTTCTCAATTGGTGTGTAATGGAAGCATTAAAGAATCTTCTGTAAAACTAAGAAATTTAAACTAAGCTTTAAAAATTAGCTATTTCTCCAGCTTCCTCATATAGGGAACAAAATTTGTCACATGCAGACCTAGCACCAAGGTATTCAACAGAATGTGATTTTCAATATTTTTTTGGATGAACTGCTGGACCACAGCCTGACTAAATATACACAATTCTTGGCTTTGTTCTACCACTCCTGCAAGTAAAATCACCTCCGTACATTGGATGGGGGTGGAGTAGCTGCCTTCACAATTTGGCTAAATTATGAATTAACAAGTTTTCCCATTTTTATTGGTTTCATTCTACTCTTAATCACAGGAGGCAAAGGAATCAAGCTAATCAGGGCCTAGATCATGCCCCATGAGACCTGAGCACATAACTGACACCTTCTATGACTTTACAGGTGCAAGAAAGTCTTTTGTCATAACAGCAGAGGAGAGATACATGGCTCTTTTCTAGTGGCAATTCCCATAGGGTTGGCACATTCAGGCCTGAGAAAACCATTATTTACTTCACACTAGCTGTGGTTTTCCTTGAGATTGTCACAGTTATTTCCTGATGAAGATTCATCAACAACCTTATAAGGAACATACTCTTTTGGTGTAGAAAGATTCATAAATTCTTTTGTTAAAAAATAAAAGATTTGTGGTACATGCTAATCAACTAGACTATGGAGACAGAGTTAGTGGAAGGAAACAGGTTAATGCAGTATGTATATACAGGATAGTTAACATAGCTGTTCTACTGTCTTCTTTTTTTTTTTTTTTTTTGGTTTTTCTCCGGTACCGGGAACCGAACTCACGACCTTGCGCTTGCCAGGCAGGCGCTTTTGCCGCTGAGCTAAATCCCCAGCCCCCTGTTCTACTGTCTTCTATTTCTTTGCTGAAAGAAACTGTCAATGAGTCCTTGATTGATCAATATTGCATGTCTCTTATCTGTTTTCATGAGAAACCACTTTGAAGATATCAATATGTAATACAACAAGCACTGTTAATTTCCTACCACTTTGTTTGTAACTCTGTATTGTCTGTTCTGTTCTTTTGCTATTTTGTAAGAGGTTGTCTGTCTGTTCATGTTTTCCTCCTTTTATTTTTAAAATAAAAAAAAAAAAGAAAAGAAACAGGTTAATGCAAAACTAGCCCTCAAGGTAATAGAGGAGACTTTTCCCCCCTCAATTTTCCAACTTCTAAGAGCTCAAAGGTATGAAGGACTGTTACAGAATAACAAAAAGGGGAGCAATGAAACAATGAGCAGGAAATCCACACAAAAAGCAGAGACTAAATATGCAGAGAGCTCCCTTCTTCAAGTCTGTCTCCTCTTAGGCAGCACGTCAAAAGGAAGCCAGGCGCAGTTGCTCATACATACAGTCCCAGCTACTCAGGAGGCTGAGGCAGGAGGACTGCAATTTGTTAGCCAGCCTACACAATTTAGAGAGACTCGGTCTCAAAATAAAGAGTAGAATGGGCCTAGGATATAGCTCCATGGGAGTGCACACCTGGGTTCAATCCCCAGTTCCACAAAAGCTAAACACAAATGAAAACTATTTCAAGGGAAGCGCAAGCTCCTGGGGCCAGCAGCAACTTTTTTCTTTCCAGACAGAAACAAACTATTGAAAGTCATTTAACATAAACTGGGAAAAAGAGAGACATTACTGAAGATTCTTCTTAGAATTGAGACTGCAACTGAAAGGAATAGGTGCTTAAAAATTAAAGCAAAGATTAGGAAACAGAGGCAAAAACAATTCAACTGAAGTCATCTCAGGCCCCTAGTCTATTATACTATTATAACTGCAGAATCAAGAAGGGTAGTTTAAACTTCAGGAGTCTTGCTCCTTTTCACTCTCTGCTATCTCAGTATCTGTATCATTAAAGTGAGGGCATAGTAATGTTGGTCTAGTGATCTACTGTGGCCTTCTAGTGCATCAAAATCTTGTTCAGGTGTGACCTCCCCTGGGCTTTGATGATCCAGGCAGGGACTCCACAGGAGTCCCCAGAACTGGCTCCTGTGATATTCTTATACCTACCTTTCCATCAAGGTGGTAACGGTCATTTTATTCTGTGAAGCGGATTAGAAGAATGTATGTAAGTATTGAAAAATATATGTAGCAATAACCCAAAAATTATCAGTTACTGTGAAATGTTTTCTAATGGTGCTTTTCTTTCTCATCAGCACACAGTTATTTCCCAAGTCCTTGGCAAGGATTCTTCTGCTCTTTTCTTTTCATTCCTACATACTAATTATACCCACTAGGATGTTTTGTTGTGGCATCCTCATACATGTATATACTATATTTTGATCATTCTCCCCCAATACTCTTCTCATTTTCTCCCCCTCACCATGTCATATTCTCTGACAGTCTTTTTGCTAAAAAGCATTATTCTTTAATTTACTCCACAAGATATCAAAAGCCTTATACCCAACAAATGAAATACAGTATAGAGTATGGCCATTTTCACTATGTTGACAACTGAGATGCATATGCACTTCTCAGATAAAGAAATACAAACAGCAAACAAATATATGGAAGCGTGTTCAATGTCATTGGTCATTTGAAAATGCAAATTAAGACCACACTGAGATTCCATCTCACTCCAGAAAGAATGGCTCTCATCAAGAAATCAACCAGTAACAAATGCTGGAAGGGCTATGGGGAAAAAGGAGCCCTCCTCCACTATTGGTGGGAGTGCAGACTGGTGCAACCACTGTGGAAATCAGTGTGCAGATTCCTCAAAAAACTAGGATTGGAGGTCCCATTTGACTCAGCTATTCTGCTTCTGGGTATGTTCCCTGAAGAATTAAAAAATCATACCACAGAGATATATGTGCACCCATGCAGATATAGCAACACAATTTGTAATAGCTAGATCTTGGAAACAACTCAAATGCCCGTCAACTGAGGAATGGATAAACAAGGTATGGGATTTTTTTGTACTCAGCCATAAAGAAGGATAAACTTGAGAGGTGAATGAATGCAACTTGAGACCATACTCATAAGTTAAATAAATCAGACCCACATGTGTAAACATTGTATTGTCTCCCTGATGTGAGAAGCTGAAAGAGTAAATAAGTTCTAAAATGTACAATAGATACTGTAAAATAGGAAGAAATTGTTCAAAAGGAAAAAGGAACTAGGATGGGTAAAAGGGAAAAGGAATAGTAGGAAAAAGGGAAAAAATGCAAGTCAATTATACTATTAATGTCTCTTAGTCCATTAAAAAGGAAGATTTGTGCTAATATCAATTGGAGAAATTTTTATGCCCATATCTTGTACCCTAAGCAATTACTTTAAAGATAACAACATGTAATATATTAACTATTGTTATTCTCCTGTTATTTTGTTATGAAATTTTGTTTTACCTTTTTTCCATAAAATAAAAAATATAATATAAAAATAAATGTATTGCATAAATTCGCAAGAAATTTTGAGGACTATGTTCACAAAAATGATGAGAAAATAAGACAAAACTCATACACAGTGATACCTGTGTAACTGTAAGGATGTTGGCAGGTGCAGCATATGTGCATGCTACAGTGATAGCTATGTAGTCTTTCCTCTTGTGGTTAATGAAAATTGTTGCCTACGATTTATAGAAAGTGGAGGACTCCCTGCTTGTCTTGGAGGACAGCCAAGTAACAGATCATTTTGGATTTGCGAAGTGATGCTGCAAAAGATCTCCAGGATTATAGAAAGTCACACCAGAATGGCACAGTAATCCTAGAAAATTAATATCTGAAATGTCAAGAGTCCTAATGCGGAGCCTGGGTTTAAGCCTGAGTGTGACTTGAGGTGGAAAAAAGGCAAAATCACCGCAGAGTAAGTTTGGGGCAACAGGCTAGGCAAAAGACAAGGCAACTTTGTTTCATAGTGCCTCCCTCACAGGCAGTTTTTTTTTTTTCTTTTTTTTTCCAGTCAAGAAGGGAGGGAGAAGAGCACTAGAGGCCAGGACTTGCGCCCATACTCGGAGCACTACTGCCATCATGCGGAAAAAGTTTCAGAATGTCGGGCGCCATTACACTTTCCTTCCCATGAGGCATAGCTATTGAGGAAAGGTTTCTCCTGTTCGGAAATGGGAGAGGCTTGTATTCCAAGCTGGGTCTCTTTGCCTCTTGTAAGTCCTCGAGGAAGACCAGGATGACAGAATTACATCCTAGGGGGGTGAGGGGTCTGCAGTGGACCACCAGCTGCCAGGAGACGCCATAGCACGAAGTTGTTGGGTGGAGCTTCGGTCCCTGTCTGGGTGGACAAGACCACCAGAACCCACTCAGAGATAAAGGAAGACTATAGGACAGTTTTCTCCTACTTTGGTTTCCTCATTGCAGCAGTATAAGAAAAGTGAGAACAGCAAGGACATACTGGTTCTAGGTGGCAGCTGCGCACTCAGGCCTGGTCTCTCACGCCCCAGGTTCTACACAATCAGTCTGCATTTTCTCCTGGCTGCTGGCAGGGCTCAGAAAAAAAGGTTTGCAGGCTAAGCTTGGGTCTGGGTATCTCAACTCCCACAGGTCCTGCCTTCCTCAACTGCTAGATCTTTCACGGAGGAATTGCTCATCGCTCAGGAGTTCATGAGACCATTTCCTTAGGATGGAAGGATTGCCCCAGTATTGCTGCTTATCTTCTTCTCGTCGAGTTTGAAAAAAAGTACTGTTAAAGAAAAAGAGAGAGAGAGACAGAGAGAGAGACAGAGAGAGAGAGACAGAGAGAGAGAGAGACAGAGAGAGAGAGAGAGATCTAAGGTACCCAGCCCCCATCAAGCAGCTTCTGAAGAGCTGAATTCCCATTTCTGGTCGTCTTCACGTGGCATTCTACCTCAAATGTTTCCTGTTCATATCAAGTTGTCTTGTGGGATTGGGAGCCAAGCCTCAGGATCCCATGCCTAGGAAGAAAGAGAAAACGTTCACAACTAAGGGCTTGGAGAAGAACAAATCTAGGCACCAGGGTGCTTCGCTGCTGTCCTGCCTCATTTCCCAGATTCCCTGGAAATCCTAGTCCACATTCAGATGCTGGCCATAATGACGTCCAAGAAAACATTTTCTCAAGAGGATGGAAACCAAGTATACAGTGGATTTTTAAAAATCTTGTGAGACCAAACTAATAGCTTCTGTGAGTTTTCAAGTTCAAGACTTTTGTCATGACAGGATATGAGGGCAGATCGATGGTGTTTTTCTATTGGTTCTCTGTTGAAAAAAAAGAGCAATACTTAGTCCTGAGAAAAGCATTATTTACCTCACAGTAGCTAATGTTCTACTTGCCCTCTTCATAATTAGTTCCTGAGAGAAAATCCTCAACAACCTTAAAAGGAACCCACCCTTTGGGTATGGAGACCTCCATGTGCTCCACTTTTACTGGAACTAAAAGTCTGTGCTGTTCACTGCTCAGTGGAAGACTGGGGAGATAGAATTAGTAAAAGGAAAGAGATTTATTCAAACTCAGCCTTGAGGAAACTAGAAGAGACTTTTCCTGTTCTAAATATCTACCTTTAGGGGCTTTGGGTTGTAAAGTACTTTATTGGGAAAAAAGGGCAAACAAGAGGCAAGAAATCGATGTGCTAGGCTGGACCTTGTGGTCCACAGTGACTAACTCCTTATCTCTATCTCCTGTTCTTCCGCAAAACATAAAAAGTCACCTTCACATGTTTGGGCCAGGATCTGCATGTTCTTTCAAAAACCCCCAACTTTTCTGTAATTGCAGTCATATGACCTGAGCAGAAGAAGAGGCATTATTGAAGCCTCTTCCTAAAATATAGGCTACTATATTTAAAAGTTTATGGAAAAGATTAGAAAGATCAGGAAAAAGTGATAGTGGTAAAGTCAGCTTCCCAGTACTCTGCTCTGCTATACTGTGACCCATACGTGCAGAATGCAGAAGGCTGGCGAAAATCCTGCAGGTGCTTCACTCCTGCAGACATTCTGTTTCTCTGTCTGCTACTCAGTATCTGTATTAGGAAAGTGTGGAGGTAATGTTGGGCTACTAATCCATAGTGACCTGCAGTGCTTCAACAACTTGCTCAAGTGTGACCTCTCTGGGGCTCTTGTTGACTTGATCATTTGTGTTTAGAAATCTGCTGTGATTCTGATGGGCTTTCCTTTATAGGTGATCTATTTTTTTTCTCTAAAAGCTTTTAATATTCTGTTGAATTTCTGGGATCTTGATTATTATATGTCTGGGTGTAAATTTATTTTGGTCATAGCTTTTGAAATTCTATGCCTCACTTACCTGTATGTCACATTCTTTTCCCAGGCTTGGGAAATTTTTGCTATTACTTCTGAAAATAGTCTTTTTATGTCATTTGTGTTGGCTCCTACTGTTTTGTTGACACATATTAGTCTTATACTATTCTTCTTTGTATTGCCTGCAGCTGTTGAATTGCTATTTACTGTGTCCTTGTTATTTTTATGTGATCTTTCCTTTCATGATTGATAGCTACAATGATGTCTTCAAAGTCTGTGAGGGTGTCTTCAGTTTCATTCAACCAGTTTTGCCAGCTTTCAATAGAATTTTTAATTTCCTATCTCTTTGAATCTGTGTCATGCATTCAAACTCTTTACTATATTCTCCATCATTTTTGTATGCTCCTCTATTTTTTTAATCTATGTCTTCTTTAGGTATGCTGAGCAATTCTTTCATTATGGTTGTCATTTTTTTTTTCCTGAGAGATTATTTCTGATATCCTCTATAGCCTCCTGGAATTGTTTCTTTATTTCAGTTGCTATCATTTCAGAAATTTCAGGTGTGTGACTCCCAGTTTCTTCTATGTTGGTGTCTCCTGGACTTGTTCTCGGTGGGCTGGAGGTCTGAGATTGCATTTTGCTCCTTCATCTTGTCATGTTCTGGGTTCCTCTGGTAGGGCAGGTTGCCAGGTCCCAGGTACTTTCTGTGCTCGCTGACCCTCCCATGGGGTAGGGGATGGGTCAGGCCCCAGTTCCCCTGGGAAAACTGGTTGCCAAGCCACGGGTGTTTACTGCACTGGCTGCCCTTCCAGGGGTGCAGGGAGATGGGTTTTGCACTGTGTTCCTCTAGCCCAGCCAGTTGCCAGGCCCCCAACACTTCCTGCACTTGCTGTCCACACTGGCTGCCCTTATCCTGGTGCAGGTGAGATGGATCAGGCACTGTGTTCCTCTTACCCACTGGGTTGCTGGGCCCTAGATGCTTCCTGCACTGGCTGCCCTTCTTGTGGTGCAGGGGAGACTATTTGCTAATATTTTATTAGAGATGTATGCAGCTATGTTCACTAAAGAGAGTGGCATGTAGTTCACTAATTTGGTTGGGTTATTTTCTGGATTTGGAATCCTGGTAATTCTCACTTGCAGGAATAACTCTGGGCGTATTCTTTCCCTTTCAATATCATGAAAGCATTTGAGGAGTATTGGTGTTAGTTCTTCCTTAAACTTCTTATACAATTCAGTGGTGGACCCATTGGGAAGTAGGGTTCTCTTCATTAGTATTTTTTTGCTGGTCCATTTCATTGCCTGTTATTGGATTATACAGGGTTTTCATATCACGTGGGTTCAGTTTGGGTAATTTACACGTATCTGTGAATCTACCCATTTCCTATCAATTCTCCAATCTATTAGAGTACAGGTTCTCAAAGTAGTTACTAATAATCTGGATTTTAGTGGTATCTGTTGTGATTTTGCCTCCTTAATTACACTGATTTGGGTCTTTCCTTTATTTTTATAATATTGGCAAGGGGTATGCATATGCTTTTTATTCTTTCAAAGAACCAATTCTTCAATTCATTCGTTCTTTGTATTAGTTTTTAAGTCTTAACTTCATTAACTGCAAACCTGAACAAAATAAATTACATTCTTCTTCCCTGGGATTTCCCTGATTCTAAGTTTTTGCCAAGATCCACAGATGTGTAAAAGTGCTTCATGACATATTTTGCAAGTTTAATCCTGGCTCACTGATACTTTTCTGCAGATATGGTGTCATGGCATTGCTTATTTCACCATTCTTGCAAACATCATCTTTGCAATTTGCTTTTGGTACTTGAAGAAACACATGAACATCTTTAGAATATACTCAACCCAACAGTCAGATTTGAAGACATGAAATGGTCTCAGGGGTCATGTTATAAATTTACAGCAAGGACTTTAAATGTGTGTTCATTTTTAAAAATTTTTACTTTTTTTTAATATTAATGACCAATACTACTGTTAACAGTTTAGTCATCATTATGCTTCAAAAATAGATGAAGGTATACATCATGTTTTTTGTTTAGATTAGTTAAACTATGTGGAGTACTCCTCCTCCTAGCTTTTTGAAAATACTACTGTAGAAGAACTCCAAAGAATTCTCAGTTTGAATAGAAGTGACCACTTCTTTGGCCTTCCTAATTCCTAAGAGGAGCCTATAGACATTTGTGTGTACTTGAAAAACTCGCCAAGCATCCTAGATCTTGTAATGTGTCATTAGGAATTATCTTGTCATTTGTGCTTTGTCCCCACAGCAAAGTGACATTGTGGAGGCCTGCTAACCTTGGTGCCCAATGAACAGGAACAACAAATTTGTGCCCCTAAATTCCTGGATTTCATTTGGAGTGAAATCTTCTAACACTGTCCACATTGGAAAGCAACTTTAGCCTTGCACATGTCTTCCTGCATCAGAATCTCTGTACTCTGCTGGCTGAGAAATGTTCCTCCACTCTCCAAGCTCTATAACAGAGCATCACCAATATTCAGAGGCATAGCGACACATTACGAGGGTTCCAAAGAAGGAATGTACAGATTCTATCCCAACACACTGCATTTGTGTCTTTCTCCTGGTGGCCTCAGAGAAAAGGATGGGAAGCCAGCTTGGGTATGGGTCTCATTGATCTCAGCAGCCCTGCTTTCCTCATTGGCTAGGACTTTCATGGAGGAGCAATTCAGGACTTAAGGCTTGATAAAATACATTCCACACAATGGAAGTATTGCTCCAAAAGAATGAAACAGCCCACTTCCATGTGCTCTACCTCCAATTTTCACCTTTGAAAACAAACACTAAAACCTGTATTTTACCTTACCCTTTCTTTAACTGTAAAATATATTCCACTATTAGAATGCGGATTTTGCTATCAATTTGATGTCACCTATAGATTTTTTTTTTTGTTGTTTTTTTTTTTTTTTTTCCGGTACCAGGAACCGAACTCACGACCTTGCGCTTGCCAGGCAGGCGCGTTGCCACTGAGCTAAACCACCAACCCCATCAGCTGTAGATTTAATGCTCCAAGTCAGCTCCTGGCATCAGGCTTTCTAAAATACAAGGCAATAGGGTTCCTATTTTTTTGGTCTGTTTGCAAAGTTTTTTCAGACAGGAAGGGCGGGAGGGGAGTCCCCGCGGATTCACTCTCAGCACACTGCTGCCATCGTGCGGAATAACTTTCATTATACCCAGCGCCATTATGCCTTCCTTCACATCAGACCAAGTGTTACGGAAGTTTCTGTTTAGTGAGTTAGTTGAGCCTTTGGCTCCAAAGTGCACCTCTTTGCTTTCTAAGGCCCCACAAGTGCCATATACACTGGAGCTACCTTGCTGTGGGGATTAAGGGACCTGGAGCCGACCTCCAGCTGCCAGGAGCCGCCATTACAGGAAGTCATGGGGACCAGCATAGGTTCCTCTGCGGACTGGTGGACCAGAGACACATTGACACAGCTATAAGCTACTGGTAGCACTTACTCCTTTGCCTGCCACTTACAGCAGTTGTTAGTGGGGCTTTAGGTGATGTCATCCTCGTATGGGCTTTGGGTCCCTACTTGCAGCATTGTTAGAACACTAAAACAGGACCATTCCAACTGGCATCTGCACTTACAGTCCAGGTCTCTCTCCAAGTTTTGCTCCAACACTCCGCATTTGTGACTTTCTTCTGGTGGCCTCAGAGAAAAGGAAGAGAAGCCAGCTTCGATGTGGGTCTATCTGACCTCTACAAGCCCTGCTTTCTTCATTAGCTCCAGTTTTCTTGGAAGAGCAGCTGATAACTTAGGGCTTCATGAAATCTCTTCCCCAAAATAACACTAGAACCTGTAGCTACCTTACCCTTTCTTTAAATGTAAAAATACATTCCACTATTAGAATGCTGATTCTGCTTTCAATTTGATGGCAACAGTAGATCTAATACTCAACGTGAGCCTGTTGCACCAGACTGGGTCAAAATAGAAGGTAGCCAAGGGTCCCAGCTTTTCTGTCTCTGCAACGTTTTTTCAGATAGAAAGGGCGGAGGGGAGCGGAGGAGGACTCCAGCGCGGTGCTCTGCTGCCATCCTGCGGAGGAACTTTCATAATACGCAGCGCCATGATGGCTTCCATCCTACCAGATGGAATCTTTTGGAGGATTCTATTTAAAGAGTTAGTACACGCATTGGCTCCAGACTGAGCGTCATTGCCCTCTAAGGCCCCACAATAGCCATACACACTAGAGCTAGCTTTCTGTGGGGATTAATGGAACTGGAGTGGACCTGCAGGTTCCAGCAGCCACCATTACAAGAAGTCATGGGGCCTGGCCTTGGCTCCCCAGGGGGAAGACAGGACCAGAGACCCACTCGTAAATCCCTAGGCTTTTGGAATCACGAATCGGCTCTGCCTGCAGCTTTAAATGATTGTTCCCTGGTCTTTAGGTGATGGCCTGGTGCAATGATAGTGAACCTATGGCCCCAGCACTCCAGAGGGATGTTAGTTATCACTGAAATCTCTAAGAGGTTCACCAGCACTGGACCTGTTGGTAGGGGCCTGGGTCCTTCCTTGCAGCAGTGTGAAAACACAAAGGCAGTGCATTCCAGGTGGGAAGTGCACTCTCAAAACTGCTGCCTCACTCTCCAGATTCTATTCCAACACACTGCATTTGTATCTTTCTTCTGCTGGCCCCACAGGAAAGGATGGGAAGCCAGCTTGGGTGCCAATCTAATTAATCTCAGCAAGCCCTGCTTTCCTCATTGGCTGGGACTTTCTTGGAGGAGCAGTTTATACCTTAGGGCTTTATGAAATCGATTCCCCACAACGGAAGGATTGCTCCAAAAGCACCAACAGCCACTTCCATGTGCTCTACCTCCACTTTTCACCTTTGAAAACAAACAAACACACTAAAACCTGTAGTTTACCCTACCCTTTCTTTAATTGCAAAGTATATTCCACTATTAAAATGCAGATTTTGCTTTCAATTTGATGTCAGCCATAGAATTAATACACCAAGTGAGCTCCTGGCACCAGGCTTTCTAATATACAAGGCAATAGGGTTCCTGTTTTTTTTGTCTGTTTGTAAAGTTTTTTCAGACAGGAAGGGCGGGAGAGGAGTCCAAGCGGACCGATTCTCGGCACCCTACTGCCATCGTGCGGAAAAACTTTCACCATACCCAGCGCCAAAATGGCTTCCTTCTCATCAGACCAAGTGTTACAGACGTTTCTATTTAGTGAGTTACTAGAGGCTTTGGCTCCAAAGTGCGCCTCTTTGCCTTTTCAGGCCCCACAAGGGCCATAAACACTGGAGCTATCTTGCCGTGGGGATTAATGGAACTGGAGTGGACCTGCAGCTTCCAGCAGCCGCCATTACAAGAAGTTATGGGACCTGGCTTTGGCTAGCCTGGGGGAAGACTGGACCAGAGACCTACTCGGAAATCCCGAGGCTTTTGGAATCATGAATCTGCTCTGCCTGCAGCTTTAAATGATTGTTCGCTGGTCTTTAGGTGATGGCCTGGTGTAATGATGGTGAACCTAAGGCCAAGGACTTCAGTGGGATGTTAGTTATCACTGAAATGTCTAGGAGCTTCACCATCACTGCACCTGTTGGTAGTGGCTGTGGGTCCTTCATTGCAGCAGTGTGAAAACGTAAAGACACTGCATTACAGGTGGGAACTGCACTCTCAGAACTGGTCCCTCACTCCAAATTCTATCCCAACACACTGCATTTGTATCTTTATTCTGGATGATGGGAAGGCAGCTTCCATGTGGGTCTCATTGATCTCAGCAAGCCCTGCTTTCCTCGTGGGCTAGGACTTTCTTAGAGGAGCAGCTCATGACTTAGGGCTTTATGAAATCGATTCTGCAGAATAGCAGTTTTGCTCCAGAAGAACCAAACAGCCCATTTCTATGTGCTCTACCTCCACTTTTCACCTTTGAAAACAAACAAACACACTAAAACCTGTAGCTTTCCTCAACCTTTAAGTGCAAAATATGTTCCACTATCAGAATGCGGATTTTGCTTTCAATTTGATATCAGCCATAGATTTAATACACCAAGTGAGTTCCTGGCACCAGGCTTTCTAAAATACAAGGCAATAGGGACCCTGGTTTTTTTTTTTTGTCTGTTTGCAAAGTTTTTTCAGACAGGAAGGGCGGGAGGGGAGTCCCGGCGACTCATTCTCGGCGCCCTACTGCCATCGTGCGGAATAACTTTCACCCAACTCAGCGCCAATATGGCTTCCTTCGCATCAGACCCAGTGTTACGGAAGTTTCTATTTAGTGAGTTAGTTGAGGCTTTGGCTCAAAAATGCACCTCTTTGCCTTGTAAGGCTCCACAAGAGCCATACACACTGGAGCTACCTTGTTGTGGGGATTAAGGGACCTGGAGTCGACCTCCAGCTGCCAGGAGCCCCCATTACAGGAAGTCGTGGGGGGGGGGGCTTCGGTTCCTCTGGAAACTAGTGGACCAAAGACAGCCTAAAACAGCTCTGAGGTGTTTGCAGCCCTTATTCCTTTGCCTGGTACTTAGAGCAGTTGTTAGTGGGCCTTTAGGTGATGTCATCCTTCTGTGGGCTTTGGGTCCCTACTTGCAGCATTGCTAGAACACTAAGACAGGACCATTCCAACTGGCATCTGCTCTTACACTCCAGGTCCCTCTCCAAGTTTTGCTCCAACACTCCGCATTTGTGTCTTTCTTCTGATGACCTCAGAGAAAAGGATGTGAAGCCAGCTTGGGTGTGAGTCTCATTGATGTCAGCAAGCCCTGCTTTCCTCATTGGCTAGGATTTTCTTGGAGGTGGAGTTCATAACTTACGGCTTTATGAAATGGATTTCATACCATGGAAGTATTGATCCAAAAGAACCAAAGGGCCCACTTCCATACGCTCTACATGCAGCTTTCACCTTTCAAAAAAATGTCCAAAGAGACAAACACACTAAAAACTGCAGCTACCTTACTCATTCTTCATTGCAAAATATGTTGAAGTCTTAGAACTCTGACTTTGCTTTCCATTTGATGTCAACAATAGATTTAATACATGAAGTGAGATGGTAGAACATGCTTTCTAAAATACAAGGCAATAGGGTCCCTGGTTTTTCTGTCTGCAACGTTTTTTCAGACAGGAAGGGCGGGAGGGGAGTCCACCAGGACACATTCTCGGCACACTGCTGCCATCGTGCGGAAAACCTTTCAACATGGCCAGCGTCAATATGACTTCCTTCTCATCAGACCAAATGCTTTCCAAGATTCTACTTAATGAGTTAGTAGAAGATTTGGTTCCAAAGTGGCCTGTTTGCATTCTCCGGTGCAAGAGCCATACACACTGGAGCTACGTAAAGGGCCCCAGAGTGGACCAGCAACTGCCAGGAGCCGCCATTACACGAAGTCGTGGGGCGGGCTTGGGTTTCTCTGGGAACTAGTGGACCAGAGACCCATTGAGAGAGCTCTGAGCTGTTGGCATCACTTACTCCTTTGCCTGCCACTGAGAGCGGTTGTTAGTGGGCCTTTGGGCGATGTCCAGGTGGTGTGGGGTACTGGTCCCACCTTCAGGCATTGTTAGAACAGGAGAGGGGAGCGGTCCAACTTGCAGCTGCACTTTCAGTCCTGGTCCCTCACTCTCTTAGCTTTGCTCGAGCACTCCCCATTTGTGCCTTTTTTGGGTGGTCCAAGGGAAAAGTTCTTGAAACCAGCTTGGGTGTGGGTCTATCTGATCGCATCAAGCCCTGCTTTCCTCATTGGGTAGGGTTTTCTTGGAGAAGCGGCTCCTGACATAGGGCTTTATGAAACGTTTTCCGCACGATGGCAGTGTAGCCCCAAAAGACACAAACAGTCCACCTCCATGGGCTCTGCCTCCACCCTTCGCCTTTGAAAAAAATGTCCAAAGAGCTAAAGACGCTAAAACCTTTGACTGCTTTACCCTTTCTTTAAGTGTAAACTCTGTCCCATTACTTCGGTGCTGCTTTTGTTTTCAATTTCATGTCAGCAATAGATTTGATACTCAAGGGCCTGTGGTCTATCCCAAGCTCCACAACTGTGAAGGGAATAGAATATTTTAAGAATTTTGTAAATGTGAGATCTAAGCTACTCACGGTCATCACTCAGCTTGTCTTTCCCAAAATCAGCTTCACATGTCCAAGCCTTCCCGTTATTGTTCTTCTTCATGCAACATTCTACCTCCAGTGCTTCCTTGTTCATCAAATCGTCTTCCTGGTATTGATGACCAAACCTCAGGGATCCCTGCCTAGGAAGGAAAACAAATATTTACCACTTTGGCCGTGGTGAAGAACAAATCTAGCTCCAGGTGCTTGGTCCTCACCCTGACTGGAGTCCCAGGTTCCCTGCAAGTCCTACTGCATGTTCTCAGCTAAGCACCAGTCCTTGTGTGTTCATCAGAGACTGACTTTAGGTGGACCTAACACACTGAAGGCTGACCAGTGTCTGACCTGAAGTGAGGCATATAAGTGAAGGTGTATGTACTCCAATCCTTTTGGTCCTGTGTATTTATCCTCTAACAATGGAGTGCAAGCATTTTCACACAGAAAGTGGCCTATCCTTACTTCTCATGGTTGTACTTCGTATGAAGGTTATTATTTTCATTTACAGACAGCGCTTACATTTTCCCCTTGGCAAGTCAGACATGAGGTGAAAAGGATTCAGAACATAGATATGTGCTCATCAATAGACAGGCACAGTCATAAAACTGTATTTCACAGTGGTAACTTTTTGCATGTCTCTCCCAGTTTTTCCAATGCCTAGAGACAATGTTCTAAGGAGACACTGAAACAACATAATACATTTGCATTTAAGTTGTATTTAGTTACCTATCGGGTTTTAGAATCCACATTTTTGCTTCTCATTCTCAGGCTGTTTTTCATATTATGATAAAATATTTACAAAACCTGCAGCATAAAACTGATCTTTGCAATGACCTTCATCAGTATATTCTGTTCAAAATATTAAGTTCTCTAATATTTTTATCTATGAAAATCTCTTCATCTCTATATATACTTACATAGATATGATTTATATGCATTATATAAATGTATACCTATATATCCTTTAAAATTGGTATTTTTATGCCAATATATTTATTCTAGTACTTACCACATGGTTTATCACATGTCTGTCCCTCAGTTTCTGGCAGGCTGAGGCAGCATTATTGCAAATTATGCAACCAAGTAGACTGAGCCTCAAAATAAAAAGGGATGTACTGCACATCAGTGCAAAGAACTTGTTTCAAACCCTCATACAAGTGGGCAAAAGAAGCTTTTATCTTAAAGTTGGATTTTGAGACACTGATTCACTCAGGACTAACTTGCTGTGATCCTGCCTGAGCATCAGGAGGAATCTTAAGTCTACCTATACAGGATAGTTAACATAGTTGATCTACTGTCTTCTATTTCTTTGCTGAAAGAAACTGTCAATGAGTCCTGGATTGATCAATATTGCATGTCTCTATCTGTTTCCATGAGAAACCACTTTGAAGACAGCGATATGTAACTGTGTATTGTCTGAGCTGTTCTTTTGATACTTTGTGAAAGGTTGTTTGTGTGTTAATGTTTTCCTCCTTTTATTTAAGAAAAAAAAAAAGCTCCAAAGAAAGAAAGCGAAAGTTAAAGAGAACCTTTGAGCTTGGAATCTTTCAAATTCAGGCATCTGGATTGTGCCCTCAGGAAACTGAAAACTGGATGTAGTTCCACCATTCACAGGCAGCTAAAATTGTTCATTAAGCTCTATCTATATATAGATAGAGAAAGAGAACTGTTGCACCTTTCTATCTCTCAAATTCAAGCATCCTGACTGAACTCTCAGAAAACTTAAAGATGGACACATGGTCACAGCATTTGCATACAGCTACATTTAATCATTAATTTCTGTTGATATACATATAAATACGCTTCCCTAAAATTTCATACCCAAACATGCACTTCCTCTACCACTGACCACAATCCCAAATACCAGCTTTTGAAACTCTGTGTATGCACATAACTTTATGCACTTACAGGCACCACATGCTCATTTCTGTTCAGATATCATTGTGTGCATTTAACAATGTACAGTCTTCAGCAGCACCATACGCTACCACTGGCAAAGTTTGGAGCACTTGTATTTTATATTTCACTCTAGACATGTCAAAATGTATAAAGCAGAGCCCATGTATCAGGCCAATTCCAGGGAGAAACAAACCACGCATGTATACCTGTGAGCAGGGGCAAATGGTGGGGGTGTGGGGGACTCTGTAATCACAGCTCTCTGGAAGGCTGAGGCAGGAAGATGGAAAATTTGAGCCCATCCTGGGCAATTTAACAACTTAGCAAAAACAATCTAAACAAAGAGAAAAACAACAGCAGCAGCAGCAGCAACAACAAAGGCTTCTGATGTAGCTCAGTGTGACAGGCTTGCTGCTCAGTCTACAGAAAAGGAAAACTACACCTGTGCTACATATGAGCAAGTTTTCCTCTGCTTATATCACCTGTAGTTTTCTAAAGCAATGCTCATGTTTCATTTTGTTGTTGTTGCAGTACTGGGGATTGAACCCAGGGCCTTCACACTCAGACGCATCCCGTTTTCTAATTTTCATATTCAGACAGGGTCTAGTTAATTCGCTAAATTTCCCAGGCTGGGCTTCAACCTGCAATAGTGCTGCCTCAGGCACCCACAGTGCTGGGATTACAGGCATGAGCCACCAGGCCTGGATTTTCATACCAGAAATGTTAAAGCAAGTTCTCTTCACTTGTAACTCGAACACAGCATATTTAAAATATAATATTTTTTAGAACACTTACATGTTTAAAAATGTTGCTGCTTTTTAAAATTGAGGTAAAATTCATTGACCATTTTGCTCTGCATAATTCGGTGGCATTCACTACATTCACTGTGCCAGCTTTACTTTTTTGTAGATCCACATACTTTTCATTCACTCCAACGAAGCCCTAGACTCACTATGCACACATTCCTCTATCCCCACACTGTCCAGCTGTCTGCACACTCTATTTTGTTTTGGACCTCTGTGGTGTCACCTAATATTGGCAAGTTCATACAAACACAACCATTGCCCAACTTGGACTTGTGTGGTTTGCATATCATTTTCAAGTAATTAGAATACATCAATTCTGCACTTCTTCTCATGCCTCAATATCACTGCTTGCAGGTCCAACCACATATGGTTTCCTCACTCAGCAAGTGATGGAAATTTGGCTTCTGCCCATCTTTCTCCTATTCCTACAAGTGCCACTATGAACATATACATAAGGACTTTTTTCAGTACCTTTTCAATTCTTTTGGCCATACAAGGAGTAATCACAAACTATGGTGAATGTTTAGATTTCTAAAAATTTTTTATTGTAAAAGACACTTTGTCATTCACCTTCCTCAGCATACTCCTCCTTGATTCAAACACACTCATGCCATCCATCTTGCCTTTTTCCAAAGAAGTTCTGGAAGCCCTGAGACTATGTTTCAACACACAAACAAACTAACAAAGAAAAATGAAAATAAAGAATTGGTGTCTGCCTGATTTGGTGGTACACCTATGATCCCATCACTGGTGAAGCTAAAGCCTGAGAATCTCCAGTTTGAAGCTAGCCTGGACTCCACAGGGAGACTGCACCTAACAATCACAACAGGGCAAACAAATTGATTTGGCTAGAGAAATTACAAGAAAGAGACAGCTTTCTTGCAATTCCACACGCATTCTGGGATCAGCTGTCACATTTCTGTAAAAATGCTCACTGGGATAGTTATAGGGATTGAGTTGCGTCTGGGGACCTCTTAACAAAGGAGTGCTGTGTTAACCATTCTCAGTCTTCCAACTCATGAGCACGATGTCTCTGTATTTCATTAAGTCATCTTCAGTTCCATGAAATGCATTTTGCGTTTTCTCTTTGCTTCTTAAGGTTTTCATTTTATTAGTACTACACGTTTGTAGTATACAATAACCTCATTCCTCATGGGGAGTTAGTACATGTACGTAACACATCTTCATTCTTTTTTAAAAATCCCCTTTACCTTTCCTAGCTTCTCCCTCCTTGATCTCTTGGTTGCTTTCTTTTTTCCAAAAACTTTATTTCTCTATTTCCTATTGGCTATCTTTATTTTGCTTTTAATTTATATTTTGGTTATCATATAAGACAGATTATGCAATAATTAAGGCATGTGTCTGATTTATTGTACTTAACATTCTGGTCTCAGGGTGCATCCATTTTCCTACAGATCACTCAAATTTATCCTTCTTTATGGCGGAGTAGTGCTCCATTGTCTGTAAGTACATTTCCTGAAGCCCTTCATCTATGGATGCCATACTGGCTATGTCGAAGATGTAGCTACTGTGAACAGTGCAACTATAAATATTGGCGTATGTACTACTGTAATATGATGCCCTTAACGCTCATGGAAAGACACAGAGAAGAGAAATAGCTGGGTCAAATGGAATTTCTACTGTTTGCCACTTTCAATAAAATAGGCTTTCATTTCTTTAAATAAAATGCTGCTTGAAGTACACTGCTTATTTTGATGCTTTTGCAAATGGAGTTAACTTCGTAATTAAAATTTCAGAATGCTATTTTCCAGTGTACACATATAAAACTATGACTGATTTGGTTTTCATTATTTTTTGAGACAGATTCTCTCTGTAGCCAGCATGACTTTCAATCATGATCCTCCTGAGACATGCCCAACACCAAACCTGACAGTTTTGCATTTCCTTTCTTTGCAGAACTGTTTTCTACATTCATTTATTAGTACTAAAAGTGTCTCTGTGGATTTTGAAGGATTTTCTTTGTATGAGACCTTTGCAAATGACAGTGACCGTTTTCCTTCTTCTTTCCAATTTGGATGGCTTCTCTATATGTTCCTTGCGAAATTACCTTGGTTAGAAGTTGCAATAGAAAGTTCAATACAACAGGACAAAATGGGCATTTTTGCCTTATTTGTGGTCATTGGGCAAAGTTTCACTCTTTCACCTTGGAGTGAACTAGGAGCTAAACACCTTTCATAAATGCCCTTTGCTTTATTAAGGAAATTCTCTTTAGGCAATAGTTAATTCAGGTTTATTGCTTTTCTGGAGGGAGGAAGTGGAACAATCCTTTATTCAGCCCCTTTCACTGACATTCTTTTGCCACCTGCTTCTCTTTTCTACAACAGTTATGCTTCTTGACAAGGCACCTGCTAGAACAGCCACATACCTGTGAAGATGAGATGTGGGGTCATGGTGGCCCACGTCCAAGAGACAAGGACTCTTCA